CAGCCAGGACGGCGAGCGAGGAGAGACAGCCAGGACGGCGAGCGAGGAGAGACAGCCAGGACGGCGAGCGAGGAGAGACAGCCAGGACGGCGAGCGAGGAGAGACAGCCAGGACGGCGAGCGAGGAGAGACAGCCAGGACGACGAGCGAGGAGAGACAGCCAGGACGACGAGCGAGGAGAGACAGCCAGGACGACGAGCAAGGAGAGACAGCCAGGACGACGAGCAAGGAGAGACAGCCAGGACGACGAGCAAGGAGAGACAGCCAGGACGACGAGCAAGGAGAGACAGCCAGGACGACGAGCAAGGAGAGACAGCCAGGACGACGAGCAAGGAGAGACAGCCAGGACGACGAGCAAGGAGAGACAGCCAGGACGACGAGCAAGGAGAGACAGCCAGGACGACGAGCAAGGAGAGACAGCCAGGACGACGAGCAAGGAGAGACAGCCAGGACGACGAGCAAGGAGAGACAGCCAGGACGACGAGCAAGGAGAGACAGCCAGGACGACGAGCAAGGAGAGACAGCCAGGACGACGAGCAAGGAGAGACAGCCAGGACGACGAGCAAGGAGAGACAGCCAGGACGACGAGCAAGGAGAGACAGCCAGGACGACGAGCAAGGAGAGACAGCCAGGACGACGAGCAAGGAGAGACAGCCAGGACGACGAGCAAGGAGAGACAGGACGACGAGCAAGGAGAGACAGGACGACGAGCAAGGAGAGACAGGACGACGAGCAAGGAGAGACAGGACGACGAGCAAGGGAGATTTGTTTTTTCGTTTGTAGATCTCATGTAGCTCGTCATTTGAAAAGTAGATCTTAACACAAAAAATTGTGGGCACCCCTGATCTACATCATAATGCACATGGAGGTACTCTTAAGCCCTTGATAATGATTCCTTAAAGTAGCATTAAGGTCTGGGTGTTTTTTACCTTAATGCATTCTCTGCATTAGGATAAAAATGGCACAGCACCTTTTTTCTACGCCAGTCCCCCCCCACACTTACCCGTCAGCTGCACTCGTCCCCGCCGCCGTTCCGAAGAGATCATCCGTTCCCCGAACGTCCGGGTTGCGGATACTGAGGGCAGAGGAGCCATAGGCTCCTTCTGCCGTCAAAGAGGGAAGGGGCGTGGCCTGCCA